ATAAATAAATAGTAGAGAGAGAGAGAGAGAGAGAGAGAGAGAGAGATTTAAGTAGATTTTTTGTTATAGCTAGTGGAAATCATTAAAAATATGTTTACATAGTTATTTTGAATTTGAATACAAAATAATGCATAAACAGTACTATAATTAATAACAATTAAATTACAAATGCAAAAAAATACCAGACATCTGATAAACTGAATTTCCTTTTATAAGCATTTGAGTAGACGTCATAAGAAATTATGAAATCATATAAACCTAAACTCAATCCCTAAAGAATATGTATATAAAACATAATCGGAAGTAAAAATTATTTGTTTGCCTTATATTACTAGCAGTTGTTAATAAAGATTGTATTGATTTGAGGCATGAATTGGTAAAACAAATGTGTTTTGTAGACGAATATTATGACTCTTTCTCTTAAGATTTGGTTGACGTTTAAGTCAAACAAAAATCAAGTTTTGTTTCAATAGAGTGAAGAATATTTGCGAGAAATGGGAGAAAGTTGCACAACAAGTATTCAGTACTTCCAAAGTCAGTGATCTTTCTCTACAACCTGTCTGTCAGTGCGAGAGAGAGAGAGAGAGAGAGAGAGAGAGAGAGAGAGATGAGTTGAAATTTATGTTAAGAAATACCTGAGACATACGCAACAATGCATTCATCAACAGTAATGTAAGTAAAACTCATTTTATAACTTTTATATATCTGTGCATTTAATTTTCAAAATACAAATCAATTTCTTCTTTTATACTAATTGACAGAATTTCAAGAATTCATTTATAAATAACTTATTATATTTCTATTCATATTTTTCTATATTTTATTTATTTATTGCTAAACTGATAACAATTTATTAACACCGGTATTCATGACATCAAAATTTTCGACATTTGTTTTATTATATTTACGATAAACATGTGATATATTCTTATAAAACATTTCGCGTTTTCTATTTTTGACGTAATTTTGAATATATTGTTAAATAATTTTAATATTTTATTAAAGATTGAAAGAGTTGTGAAAATATTATTGATGTAAATGTCATAATCTTATAAATGTGCGAATAAGACGATGAATACAAGATTCACAACCATTACAATCACAGTATATTTGCTTCAATTCATCCTTTTTCTGGTCTTAATAAAAGGTATGTCTTTATTATAATTTACATTCACTTTTATATATCTATAGTTTTATATTGATATTGAATCAAAACAAAACTGGACAATACAATTGTTCTATGTTAATTGTTATTGTTATATATCCAATCATAATCAATTGGAAATAACACATTAATAATACAAATATTACATTAATATACCATTAAAAGGCAGTTAAATTTGTCATAACATTAAAATGATTGTCGATTTTTTAAAATACAAAATGTAATTAAATAAAGATATTCCAGCAATTATCTATTTAAACATGTATAATTAATTGTCATTAAGAATAGTGATCGTAGAAATACCTTTTATATGTTATGGATTTCATGTGAATAATAATATTAAATAAATATGAATTAAAACAACGATTAAACAGAACTAATGAAAGATAATGAAAAATATCAATTATGTATACAACTCTTTATTTGTGTAAAAGCAACCAAAATTGATCATGTTCAATTATTGTTATATTCAATTATAGATAACATCTTAATTGATAATATTTTATATTAAATTTCAATTAAACTCAAGAATTATATTTTCTACAAAAGAAAGGTTTACAGAGATTATTGATGTCATGGTTAGAGAAAAGTGAATATTTAACAACTTTGTTGGTTTTCACACATTTTATTGTATTTCAAAATAGATATTAAATACTATAATTTTAATGAATTTAAATGCAATATAATTTATAGTCATTAAAAATAGATATAAAAATGTGACAATTAAATCTAAAAACATATCCGTTTACGGGTTTAATATAGATTTATTCAAATTACAAACAAATGCTTGAAATGTCTGAAAAGAGTTTTCAATTTTTTACGATCTATGATATCATATCACTTAACAGTAATCTCTTAACACTTTATTGTTTCACATTATCGATGAAAAGTATGAAAGGTTTGCGTCACTTATTCTGTGATTTATTGCAATTTTCAATGAATTTATTCAAATCTCAAATACAATACAACACAACTTGTTTTGGGAATTGTTTTACAACCAAAAGCTTATCAATTGATGTGTTATTTTAAGTGAAAAGCAATATTAATTGAAAGCCTTGAAGTGTTATTCAATAACTATATTCCTATTAAAAAGTTTTTAATAAGAATTCATTTGAAACAGAAATCGATGCAAAAAATAGTGAAAGTGTTGAACAAACACAAGACGTTAACTCATTGAATGGCAATGGCTTTGCAAGTGATCCCAAAACTGGTCTTCAATGCAATTGCAATTGTGATGCAAATTATAACACAACCACTAAAACAACCAAAGATTACTTCTTAGATGTCTTTCAAGACAACAATGTTTTGCATAATTCGGTCAAAACTGAGACTAAACCGAAAGATGTGACTATTTTTGTGATAACTCCCACTTATTCGAGACCAACACAGATGGCAGACATGACTAGACTTTCGCAGACACTATCACTGGTGAAGAACTTGTTTTGGATCGTAAGCGAAGACTCGCAAACCAGATCCCAGTGAGTCTTGTATTCAGACTATAATTTAGACATTATTTACATTTAATTGGTATTGAATTGTAATTTGAAGACAAGTGGCGGAACTGTTGAATCGGACGGCCATCCGATCCGTGCATTTGTTAGGCCCGCGTCCGGCAACTCATTTGGACCGCCGAAGTGGTCGCGGGGTCTCCAATAGACTCATGGCTTTGCAGTATTTGAGAGAACAGTTTACGAACACCAGTGAGGAAGGGGTCATATACTTCGCCGACGACGACAACGCCTACGATATCAGGATTTTCGAAGAGATGAGAGCGACGCGAAAGGTGTCTATGTTTCCGGTGGGTCTGATCGCCAAACTCGGTCTCTCAACACCTATAGTGAGCCGACAAACGGCCAAAATCATCGGCTTTCACGACCCGTTCATAAGTCGCCGCAAATATGCTGTAGATATGGCCGGATTTGCCGTCAATTTGCAGCTCTTTCTCAACAGACCGAAGGCAACGATGCCTTACAAAGTGGGCTACGAAGAGGACTACTTCATCAAAAGTCTTGGCGTCCAATTCGATGATCTCGAGCCCAAAGCTCACAATTGCACTCAGGTATCAATCCATCACTTCTTGTCTATTGTTATACAATACAAAATATGATCAATCATTCAGATCCTTGTCTGGCATACGAAGACCTCAGCAGCCATTGCACCCAATTATGCATATCTTACCAAATATAACGACTACAACAATACTAATCTTCCACTACTTTATGACAATGTATTCAAATCTATTGGACAATAGTATCGATATTTCAAATGTATAAGAATTAGTGCCAATTGTATTAAATTAAATCATAATTTATTTAAAATTTTATTAAAAAACAAATAAAACAAACGAAAAGGCAATGAAAGTCTGATCCTTGAGGTCAGGGATGTGTTGGCCCTAAAAAGGGCCGTTTGGTGTCAAGTGATGGTCACTTATTTGCTGGAAGTATATTTGGTGACAGCTTTGGTGCCCTCAGAGACGGCGTGTTNTCGGAAAAAATTGTCGAAAATCATCGGTAAATAAAACAGCGATAAAATTTAACAAAAATCAGTTTATTAATGAAATGTTTGGCAAAATGATAACAAGTGATCCTTAAAGTCATTGTATGGTTTGGCCCTAAAAAGGGCCGTTTGTAGACATCTGGTGATGAATTTATGCCTTCTTCTCGGTCTTCTTGGGCAGAAGGACGGCCTGAATGTTGGGCAGAACGCCTCCCTGAGCGATGGTCACACCCGACAACAGTTTGTTCAACTCCTCGTCGTTACGAATGGCCAGTTGTAAGTGTCGGGGAATAATACGGGTCTTCTTGTTATATGATATTTAAATATAATAGTAATCTTTAGTTACAATTAGTGAGCCCTTAATAATTGAATTTCGGAAAAAATTGTCGAAAATCATCGGTAAATAAAACAGCGATAAAATTTAACAAAAATCAGTTTATTAATGAAATGTTTGGCAAAATGATAACAAGTGATCCTTAAAGTCATTGTATGGTTTGGCCCTAAAAAGGGCCGTTTGTAGACATCTGGTGATGAATTTATGCCTTCTTCTCGGTCTTCTTGGGCAGAAGGACGGCCTGAATGTTGGGCAGAACGCCTCCCTGAGCGATGGTCACACCCGACAACAGTTTGTTCAACTCCTCGTCGTTACGAATGGCCAGTTGTAAGTGTCGGGGAATAATACGGGTCTTCTTGTTATATGATATTTAAATATAATAGTAATCTTTAGTTACAATTAGTGAGCCCTTAATAATTGAATTTCGGAAAAAATTGTCGAAAATCATCGGTAAATAAAACAGCGATAAAATTTAACAAAAATCAGTTTATTAATGAAATGTTTGGCAAAATGATAACAAGTGATCCTTAAAGTCATTGTATGGTTTGGCCCTAAAAAGGGCCGTTTGTAGACATCTGGTGATGAATTTATGCCTTCTTCTCGGTCTTCTTGGGCAGAAGGACGGCCTGAATGTTGGGCAGAACGCCTCCCTGAGCGATGGTCACACCCGACAACAGTTTGTTCAACTCCTCGTCGTTACGAATGGCCAGTTGTAAGTGTCGGGGAATAATACGGGTCTTCTTGTTATATGATATTTAAATATAATAGTAATCTTTAGTTACAATTAGTGAGCCCTTAATAATTGAATTTCGGAAAAAATTGTCGAAAATCATCGGTAAATAAAACAGCGATAAAATTTAACAAAAATCAGTTTATTAATGAAATGTTTGGCAAAATGATAACAAGTGATCCTTAAAGTCATTGTATGGTTTGGCCCTAAAAAGGGCCGTTTGTAGACATCTGGTGATGAATTTATGCCTTCTTCTCGGTCTTCTTGGGCAGAAGGACGGCCTGAATGTTGGGCAGAACGCCTCCCTGAGCGATGGTCACACCCGACAACAGTTTGTTCAACTCCTCGTCGTTACGAATGGCCAGTTGTAAGTGTCGGGGAATAATACGGGTCTTCTTGTTATATGATATTTAAATATAATAGTAATCTTTAGTTACAATTAGTGAGCCCTTAATAATTGAATTTCGGAAAAAATTGTCGAAAATCATCGGTAAATAAAACAGCGATAAAATTTAACAAAAATCAGTTTATTAATGAAATGTTTGGCAAAATGATAACAAGTGATCCTTAAAGTCATTGTATGGTTTGGCCCTAAAAAGGGCCGTTTGTAGACATCTGGTGATGAATTTATGCCTTCTTCTCGGTCTTCTTGGGCAGAAGGACGGCCTGAATGTTGGGCAGAACGCCTCCCTGAGCGATGGTCACACCCGACAACAGTTTGTTCAACTCCTCGTCGTTACGAATGGCCAGTTGTAAGTGTCGGGGAATAATACGGGTCTTCTTGTTATCGCGGGCGGCATTGCCGGCCAACTCGAGCACCTCAGCCGCCAAGTACTCCAACACTGCGGCCAAATACACGGGAGCGCCCGCACCCACGCGCTCAGCAAAGTTACCTATCAATCAAGACATAAGTGTTTTAGTTTTGGGATCAGATAAGACACAGACAATGTGTTAAGACATACCTTTGCGAAGGAGACGATGGATACGTCCGACGGGGAACTGCAGACCAGCTCTCGAAGACCTCGACTTTGCTTTCGACTTCACTTTACCTCCTTTTCCGCGACCAGACATTGTTTGCGAGATTTGAATACAAAAGTATTGACAGAAATAAAAATTACAAAAGTTTTGAAAACTTTTTGATAACGAGTTTAGCGGCAAAACCTATCCTTATATACCCTAACATTGCATTCACTGACAACTCGTCGGCCAATCACAGCGTTTTGCGCGCTTTGAGGCGAACGTAAGCGTAGACTCATTGGTGTTGCGATTGGTCTGTGATTTGGACACCAGTTTGTGATTGGTTTGTGGTTTCGACACCAGTTTGAGGGTATATAAGGGGAAAGTGTTTGCAGTTTTAG